TTCAAACCCACCAGCCACTCCTCAGAAGGAAGGTTGGGCAATCTACTTCTGTAGTGATACTGCCTCGGAAACCCAAGGAGGGGTCGCTGTGAGTCGGGTCCGACTCAATGGCATGTAACAACAACAACATGGCTGTAGACCAGAGGAGCAGGAACCAAGAACACTTTACCCTCTGATTTGGTAAACTACTGATCTTTGTGGCCCATTTAAATCCCCAGTAAAATTTTTACAGAAGCTTTCAGAAGGCTTAGGGCTGTGTAGTTCTCAACCCTTACTGAGCATCAGAATCACTTGGAGGAACATTTAACAAGTACAGACACTTGAGTACCACCTCAAGAAATTTCAGATCCACTTGGTCTCAGGAGCTTCTGGTGTATAACAAAGTGCTGAAAGCCACTGGGGTAGAAGTGCTTTAATTCCAGTCAAATTTCACAAGTCCCAGGTAAGAATTTTTGGGTATCTTCAGGGGCTGTAAGGAGCTCAGGTAGTGCTGTGGTTAAGGCATTGGGCTCCTAACCAAAAGGTCAGTGGTTTGAACCCACTGACTGTTCCACAGGAGGAAAATGAGGCAGTATGCTTCCATAAAGATTTACAGCCTTGGAAACCCAATGGGGGTCGCTGTGAGTCAGGGTCGAATCATTGTCTGTGGGTTTTCAAGAGCTGTAAGTAATAATACCTTACTGTAAATATATAAGGTAATACCAACGTAGTCTAGAATAGTATGCCCTCGTAACACCCGAAATTTAAAAACTCCAGTTTGTCCCAATTCAGCAAGCATGTAGATTATTATTCAACCACCATCTCATTGAGGATTTGATTATCTAGACAGGAAATGCTTTACTACATAAAAATGGTCACAGGGTCTGATACCAACAGATGCCATTTTTAAGCACCTGTTAGTGTGAGCTCTGCCATTCAGCCCTATTAGTGAGGATGTGTTTTAATTTTGCTGAAGTCGTGAGTCAGTAGGAATGCTAGAAATGCACGTTTGCTGCTTTTGTTCCAGTCCAGCACACCGCCTCCTGACTTACTATGCTGATCTCTTAGTTGTGCAGTTAACCAAGGATGTCTATAAATGTCATTAAGATTAGGCAGCAGCCTTGTTTATAGAAGTTTATTAGAAGGCATTGATTTCACATAATCAGCTGATAGTAGAAATTTTTATTTTTTTTCATGACTCTAGCTAAGATTGACTTGTTAAAACTAAAACTGTGTTCATAATTTGGAGAACATTAAAAATCTACCTAGAAAGCTATTTCACATTTTTTCCATGGGGGAGTCTAAAGTGGTGTTATATTATAATGGAATCAGTAAAATGTTACGCTGATTGAAGCCAAACATGCCTATGGGTTTCTACTCAAAAACTGGCGTAAACATTAGTATCATTATCTCAAGTGTGTTCATCATTTCTATCTATAGTAGACTTTATAATCAGGTATGCCTGGCTGAAGGTCATGGGTTACACATAGCTATTCAAATACTTTATTTTTGAGACAGCTGGGATCTTCTGTGACCCGTTTTAGTGAGTGGGAAGATCATCTTCATCTTTATGCCTTCCTGCCCTTTCTAAAAATAGTAAGGGCCTTTAACAAGGAGATATTTTAAGCAGCTCATGTTCACTTGTCTCATCAGGAGAAACTTATTTTGACCACTTGAGTGTGTCGGATTTGCATGTGTGCATAGTTAGGCTTTGGAGTAGTAGGCCCTGCTTCTCCATGCCATTCATATAAGAAACTTGCAAAGATAAAGACACTGGATTACTAGCTGAGAGATTTGGCTACGAGTCAGTGGGTAAACATAAGTGAAGGGAAGACACTTTTTAGGAATGTGAATATGCTTCCGAAATCATCCATTTCAGTCATTTGCACATCAGTCCTCAGCTTTTCGGATCTGTTTTCATAAAACCTGGCTGTGATTTTTGCTCCAGAGACCTCACTGATCTTGCTGCTTCTAATAAGTATTCATAGGAGCTGCTGCCAGCCTGTGGATAAGGGAAACTAATGAGAAACTGTCATCCAAAATCTGAACAGCAAAAACCAAACCCAACCAAACAAAAAAATCCAAAACAAAACCAAAAAAGAACAACTCAAACAATCTGTGCTCACAAGAAGACTCGTAGAAAAATACCAAGATGTAACTTTGATTTGATAACTGGATTTATCAGCCACATGACTGGCATGCAGTGGGTACATTGTATTTTTCTACTTGGAAAATTAAAAAAAATAAAAAATAAAACATCGTGCAAATACTTATTATTCTGCACAACTGGGACCAAAAAAATTATGATTGTGAGGAAACACAGACTCTAAAAGCAAGATGGAATTTCAGCAGGTAACCCCTGTTCTGCAGTCATGTCATTCCGGTACAGTTGTACGTGGTACTCGTGTTTGCACCTCTAAGAAATTTCCATTTTTTCGCATCAAAAAATCCAGATATGAAGCTGAAGCTGCCTTCTTCGCCAACCTGAAGTTGTCTGATTTCAACATCATTGACACCCTGGGAGTTGGAGGTTTCGGACGAGTAGAACTGGTAGGTGATTGTTCTTTAACTGCCTTCCTGTTTTATTTTTCCCTATAGATTGAGATTTCTCTCTCTCTCTCTCTGTCTCTCTCTCTCTGTCTCTCTCTTTCTTGCCCATCACTAGTTACTGTCATCGGCAGGTCAGAGTTTGCAACAGTTAAAACAAGCTGCTTTATGCAGTCAATAAAGTGAGAGGAGAGCAAACACCAAATTACTTTTTGGACAACTTCCTCATAGTAAATGAAAAGTAAACAAATTACCTGAATGAATCGTGAAGCACTTTTTAAGCCATCTGATTTTCTGTAATCTTTATTTACTTCCTTAGTTCTAGTGAACACTATCTTAATATTTCCCCTACATACAATTACAATAATTGATGTGTAAATTTAACTACTTGTAAAGGGATGTGGAAAATGTGAAATGTCATGTAAAATGTTTTAAGATTCTTACCACTGCTTTTAAAAAAAAGAAAGTCAATTGTTGTGTATCCTAAAGTTGCAAACACATAATTTAGATTACAATGCTAATGCTTGACATATTTTGTATTGTTTATTTCACACAAACTTTTAATATATACAATTAGGTGTTGATAAAGGTGAGGACATTTTGGTACAAGTTTAGACATTCAACACATTACATGAATATGATGCAAACGAGGAAAGTATATTCTGTTAGGTATTTGTTTGAAATATAAATATAAAGATTTATTGCAACAAAAATAAGAGAAAAAGGTACTGATGACAGAGATTTCTGCATTCTAACACACTGTGGATATAAATGTTATTTGAAAATGCAGATTGGTTTTGGCCTTCTGCTGAACACAAAGTTGTCCCTGATATCAGACACCAGTACAGTATGTTAGGAACTCCCTGATGCTGTGTACAGTGTAGTCAACAGTTACTGTTGCCATCAGGGGAGGAGAGAAATCCCCTTCCATAAAAGTAGATTGGCCCAGCACTATTTTTTATTTTAGTCCATTTGTGCTTCAGTTGAGATATCTGACTTTGGCAGCTGGAAAAAATGTTACTTACTGAAACGCTGGACAAGATTTCAGAGCCATAATTTTGTTGCATTTACTTTCTGCTTTCCCTAATATTAGTTAGAAGACCACAGTAATATTACTTCTGACATAATAGTCCATAGTGTATCTCTGAGGATCCGTGTATGCTAAGAGGAATAAAAATCAAGAAAGGGTCTAGGAAAAAAAAAAAAAATCTTGTTTTTCTTAATCCTACAAATTAATACAGCCTATTATTTATTTTTTCAATAACATCACCTTGAAAATGTCAGGTTGTATATTGGCCACATAGCTAGTGAAGATTTGTTGAGACCATTATACATTATCAGCTTTCTCTTAGGGGTGTTGGTACATATAAACAGGGCAGAGAGTAGAGCCCCTGGCCATGAGGGGCTTGCTGTCTGTTGCATTTACTTATATCATTGTTTGTGCTAAACCCATATCTAAAAGACTCAGTAAAAGGGACCAAATTCCCCAGAGAATGATTTAAAGGGCTAGTTTTTTCTAGATTCATAAATCTTTAATAAAGATAAAAAAAGAAAAACTATGCACAACCAAATTGCTATTTCCTGTGGCAAAAATCAACATATACCTTTAGTGGACTCCTGGAGGTCTGAGAACTTCAAATTGGGAATCTGTAAGTTATCACAGAGATATTTTATAAATATATATGAATTTATTTAGAATTTTTGAAATACTGAAACTAGCTCACAGACACTTAAACTGCATTTGAGGACTTATGGTGGCCTGGGACTACTAACCAAAAGTCAGTGATTCAAACCCTGCAACTGCTCTGCAGGTGACAGATGGGGCTGTCAGCTTCTGTAAAATTTACAGCCTTGGAAACCCAAAGGGGGACTTGATGGTAGTGAGTTTGGTTTTTTTGATAGTGGCCTGGGGGACTTCTGGCTGATCAATTGATTGTGAAACTCATAATGGAAAACTTCTAGAAAATTACCTTTAAAAATATGTAAGGAAGTAAAAGCAACTAACAGTAAAATTAAAGAAGGGTAAGTATTGGCAAATAAAAGGTAATGCAGCTAAGACAGACAAAATCTGTGTGTGTATGTGTATGTGTGCATATGTAGGCATGTGTGTTTATATATATAATATATATAATCTCCATCCCAGAAGAAATACCAGATAGTTTAGCCTAGGGTTCTTCTTATGGATATTACGTTTTATTCTTCAATACAGATTTTCATGAACTTATAAAAACCATAACCTCAAGAAATAATTTTGGGAAAAATACAGCCCAGAATGCAAAAACTTCAGATACATGGATAAATAAGAAAATCATAATGATCATTACATACAAACAGTACATTAGTGATAAGAGACACATGTCTGTAACCTCTGAAATGGACACCATTTTATGTGATCTTACACTTCCTCAAACACATCAAGATGAATACTCTGGTTGTCTTCACTATCTAGTGTGGACCAGTCATTTCTGGGATCACTAGTGCCCTGGGATCCATTGCACCATGTGAGTTTAAATCCCAGCTCTTACCACTCACTCACTGCCTAAAAATAGTGATTACTGGTTATGAAAAATATTCTATTCTGTGATTGGTCATCTTTTACATTCATTCAGTGATGCCACAATTGGGAGTTTACTCCCAACATTGACAGTAATTACACAGACTGTTGTCAGCACATAACGTACATCATCACAAAGACAGTTGTGGCCACATAGAAGGTAGTAGTGGACCTTCAGAGAGGAACCACATGTTCATAGTTAGGGGGATGATCCAAGCCGAGCCCAGTTTAGTGACTTACAAATTAGAGATTTAGGTAATTCTCTTAATTTACAAGGTGTATCTGGTAAATAAGGAGATTGATTTTACATATCACAAGTAAAAATTAGTCCCATTGCTTTATGATCCCATCCTTAATGTGTTCTGCTTTTGCTTTTGTCAGAGGAGTTACTGCTTTTCACAATAGAATTGCACAAGTCGAAGACAAACTTGCTTTTAATGTGACAGTGCTATGTGGTAGTTTCTTTAAATATTTAATATTTAATCTGTTTATTCACAATGTTAAAGACTCCTTTACCAAGGCACCATATTTGGATAAAGTACAGAAATAAAAATGTGGAAGACCTAATCTCTATCTCCTTGAAATATATATTCCTTCTGTAACAGTTATGATGTATGTAATAAGCTCTCTTTGGGGAAATGCTAAGTTTAACTGAAAACAGCCTGTGGCTCCAGGGACTCCCAGTCTTGTGGGAGAGACAATCACGTAAACCAATAAGTAAACTCATATTCAAAGTGTAACAGTGTACAATGATGTATGGGAAGGAAGACTTCTTGCAGCAGAGGCAGCATTGATAAGGCAGAGAGAGAGTTATAAATTAGTATAAATAACTTGAAGTATTATGGTACACACATAGTAAGATGAAACTACTTCAAGAACAAACTTTAATTAATAAGATAGTATTACTTAGTAATTGAGATAATCATACATTCCATTTTAACCCTGTATTATAATCTTCCCATTACCTTCACATAATTGTATCCAGTATAGTACTACCCCAGGAGGAGAATATGGGGTCTGATCCACATTTTCCAGGAAAGAAACTAAGAATAATATATGAAGTATCCTAAGGCCACATGAGGAGCTCTGGTAGCATAGTGCCTAAGGCATCTGACTGCTAACCAGAAGGCTGGCAGTTCAAACCCACCAGCCACTCCTCGGAAAGGAGACTGGGCAATCTACTTCCTTAGAGATACTGCGCAATGAGGGGTCGCTATGGGTGGAAATCGTCTCGATGGCAGTGAGTGTGGTTTTGGTTTTAAGGCCACATAGTTATTGAAAGCACTATTGCTGTTGCCCATAACTACTATTTTCGATTAGCTTTTTCTGTTGTGCTGGCCTTTAAGCTATTTCAGCTTTAACACCATCACCACCACCAACCAGGGCCAAAAATCAAATAAGTGTTTCTGCGTTGTCACATGTATACCTTTGCTTTAGTTTTTTTTTTTTTTTTTTTTCCTGCAACCTAAGACACTTAATCAGACATAAATCTAGAGTAGATGAGGTGTTATGCACAGCTGCTCTTCAACTACACTTCTGTCAAAGCTCTAGAGAACACCTTTCTCTAAATATTTTGTTTCTTCTACTTTAGTGGCAAAATATCTACAGAGAAGAAACAATAGTGTAACATGGTAGCTAATAGCTTTGAACTCTGAAATTAGACTTTATGGATTCAAATCTTAGCAACTGCATTCACTTAGTCATTTACTTAACTTTCTGTGCCTCCATTTCCACATTTCTAAAATGAGGATAATAGTAAGATGTCCCTCACAAGGTGGCAAGGATTAAGTGAGTTAAAGTCCAAAACAGAGCCTCACGTGTAAGTAAGTCAGTAACTTGTCAATGTTGCTGTTATTATCATTTGTAATTATTACTTAAAATATGCTAATGATAACTATATTTATCATCTTCATCTATTCATATAGTAAAGGATGAGAATGGAATGATTTCACTCCTTTTTCTCCATGGCTTCATCCAAGCATTTCTCCATTATAGGAAAGAGCTCAAGGTCTTCAAATGACCTTCAAAGATAGCTTCTATTAAATTTCCCCAAAACCACTAATGCTGCTCACTTTCTGATCTATCATGAGTGGAGACAGAAAACAGTTTTCAATCTTCCCAACCCTGAACCTTTGTGCAGTTGAACTAGTCTGCTCTTATTTACCCATTTCTCTTCTAAATTGTATAGCCCCAACCCTTAACCACTCGATAGAAGTTCAAATTTTTTTCAGTACAGACTGCTGAATCATATCCAGCTTCTCCACAGTCTTCTTAAACCCTGGCACCCCAAATGGACATAATAAGGGCCTGACTCGTGCCAAGGAGAAAGTAAGGTGGTGGCAAGTTCTAAGAACCCTACTACCCTCAATGAACCACATTTGTGTAACACCGTTCATGTGCTATTCGTAAAGACAGCCATACCACTTCATGGCATTTTTTTCACATGCAA